TTGGGGGGGGTAAACTGAGCTTGGGATTTTATTTGGGAAGGGTTTTTACCTATATGGGAAGAAATCATTGATCCCGTTTGCTGTTTCTGTTTTTTGGGGTTGGGGTTTATCCCGATTTTGGGTTTAAATTTTTTTTTCGGGTATTTCGTGATATCTTTTTGTTCCCAGGGAAATTTTTGATAGGGTCCCTTTCCCGGTTTTTTTTTTATATCACCTCGTTAAATTTGGGGTAAATCTGGGTTTTCATAATACAATTTTTTTTGCCCCTTTTTATCAGGCTGGGTTTGGATTGACGAGGAAGTTTTTTTTTTGGTCCTGGTTTTTGTGACCCATTTGGTACCCGTTTTTATAACGGGGTTTTGTATTTATGGATTTTTAGAATGCTGGATGTTTCCAGGGGCCCGTTCAGTCTCTTAGGTCATCTGTTTAGTTTTTTTTTAGGGCAGTGCTTGTTATAAAGGTATTGGGGCTTTTTTTGAAAAAATTTTTAAAAAAAATTCGTCAATATCTGTATAGGTTTTTTAGCTCAGTGTGCCAGTCAATGTTTTTCTACTGCTGGGTTTTGAAGTTTTTAATGGCTGCCTCATTGTGAACTGAAGGTGAAATTTAGTAGTGGGCCCTTTGGGGTTTTTACCAAGAGTTTTATAGGAAAGTAGGGTAGTGGTCTGTGGGATTTTCTGTAATTATGCTGATTTTAAAGGGGATATGGTGTTGGTCCAGATGTGGTCAAGTAGGGAAACACTAGTCTCTGTAACTCTTGTAGGTTTTGTTACTGTTGGTAGCAACATGCAGTTACTCATTGTGTTTGTGAATTCAGTAACGTGTGGGTCCTGGTCTTGCAGGAGATTTATATTGAAGTCACCTGAGAGTAGTAAGTGATCTTTGTTCATGCGTGCATCAGTTATCATACTTCCTAGGTATTGACTAAATTGGCTAATGTTTGATTGTGGAACTCTGTAGATGTTTATCACTGTGAGAGGTTTTTGTAGGTATTTGGATTTGAATTTAGCTATTATATATTCCCCATGTTCACTGTTTCTAGGTTAGATCCCCTTCAACATCAGGGTCTACGTTTATGCCTTTGTGACTTTCGTTCATCCCCTGCTGAAAGCCTCTATGCTGAGGCGAATGTTTCTTCCTTAGCTGATCGTCAGGATGCTCGTTTCTTTCGTTACTTTGTCCGGTGTCATGACCTTCATGTTCCGTCTACATATAGGTTGGTCTCAGACCTTAGTAGAAGCCCATTATTTGTTCGACGCCCCCTACGTACTCCGACCGTTTTCTCTTCATCTTCGCTCACTCCGGTCTTCTCTCCAGTTGCCTCCCTCGTATGTTCATTTAGCGTCTGCCTTTTCTCTTCCCCCTTGGGAGGTTCCGATGGTTTGTGTCTGTTCTTCCCTACTGTCGTGCGCCAAAGCTCTCCTACCTACAACTGCTTCTCGCTCTCTTTTTCTTGATCACCTCCGGTCACATGCTCATGCTTTGCTGTTTATACAGATGGCTCTAAATCGTCTGACGGTGTTGGGTTCGCGGCAGTGTTCCCTGACGGTGTTTCCTGATGATATTGTCCGAGGTCATTTGTTAGACTCGGCTAGTATTTTTACTGCCGAGTTGTATGCCATCCTCATAGCTCTTCTCCGTATTACATATATGTCTCCTTCGACGTTTGTGATCATTTTAGATTCTCTCGGTGCTTTTCAAGCCATTAAACAATTTGATTGCCCTCATCCATTAGTCCTTCGTATTCAACTAGGGTTGCACCGTGTGGCTAGCAAAAACAAGGATGTCATTTTCTGTTGGGTCTCTGGACATGTTGATGTGCTGGGTAATGAGCAAGCAGATGCTGCTGCGTGGTCAGCGTGGTCAGCGGTGCATCATCTTCCGGTTTCCTATAGGGGTATTCCGTTCAGAGATTATTTTATTTCCGGCCATCTCGGCCCGTCTTCGTGGCCGTTGGCAACAGCGGTGGGTAGGCATGCACCATAACAGATTGCACTCTATTAAACTGCTTTTAAGTTTGTGACCATCTTCTTGCTACCGCTGCCATACTCGGGAGACTGCGCTCTCCCGTCTCTGCATTGGCCACACTCGCCTTACCTATGGGTATCTTATGGAACGTCACCCTATTCCTGTCTGTGAGGTTTGTCAGGTCCCTATTTTGGTTCTTCACTTTCATGTTGATTGCCCGGTTTACCAGCGAGCTCGCAAGATTTACCTCCAATGTCACCATCGCCCTACCACTCTTACCTTATCTTCCCTTCTTGCAGACGGCCTACCTTTGACCTACAATCACTTTAGACTTTTTGTCAGCATCTGCTTTACTGTACGAACTTTGACATATAGCCCTTCGCGTCCCTTCCAGTCCTTCTCTCTCCTCGCCTCTGAATCCCTCTCCACCTAGCTGTTTATAGCCCCAGCATTATTCTCTACCCCGCAGCACTGTATGACCCTTGTCGGTTTAGCGCTTTTTCTGATTATAATAATCGTCATCCTCATATCTGACATAGACAGGGATGTAAGCCATAACTCCGTGTCTTCCTTTGCAGATGACACCCAAATTGCCATGACAGTGTCCTCCATCGAAGACACCGCAAGTTTCCAAGCGGACTTCAACCAAATCTTCAAATAGGCCACTCAAAACAATATGAAGTTCAGTGAAGAGAAATTTCAACTACTCAGATATGGAAAACTTGAGGAAATTAAAACTGTATCAGGATATACAACAAATTCTAACCATACAATAGAGGGAAAAGTAATGTGAAGGACCTGCGAGTGATAATGTCAGAGGATCTCACCTTCAAAGACCATAATGTATCTACCGCATCTGCTAGAAAAATGATAGGATGGATAATGAGAACCTTCAAAACTAGAGACGCCAAGCCCATGATTCTCTTCAAATCGCTTGTTCCCTCTAGGCTGGAATACTGCTGTACACTAACTGCCCTCTTCAAGACAGGCGAAATTGCTGACCTAGAGAATGTAGAAAGAACTTTCACGGCACACAAGTACGATAAGGTACCTAAATTACTGGGAACAGTTGAAGTCCCTTGATTTGTATTCCCTGAAACGCAGACGAGAAAGATACATGATAATATACTCTTGGAAAATCCTAGAGGGATTGGCACCAAACTTGAACGCAAAAATCATTCCCTGTGAAAGCAAGAGACTCCGCAGGAGATGCAACATTCCCCCAATGAAAAGCAGGGACGCCACGAGTACACTGAGAGACAACATAAGTGTCCGGGGCCCAAGACTATTCAGTTGCCTCCCAGCATACATAAGATGGATTGAACATTAAAATGGTATAAAATACCGACAGATTGTTAGGTAAGACACATATGCAACAGTTAGGTATCTTTATTTCGAAACGTTTCGCCTACACAGTAGGCTTCTTCAGTCGAGTACAGAAAAGTTGATAGAAGCAGAAGATACTTGAAGACAATGTAATCAGTCCATCACCCTTAAAGTTTTGAGGTGGTCAGTCCCTCAGTCTGGAGAAGAGCATTGTTCCGTTGTCTGAACGGAACGGAACGGAACAATGCTCTTCTCCAGACTGAGGGACTGACCACCTCAAAACTTTAAGGGTGATGGACTGATTACATCGTCTTCAAGTATCTTCTGCTTCTATCAACTTTTCTGTACTCGACTGAAGAAGCCTACTGTGTAGGCGAAACGTTTCGAAATAAAGATACCTAACTGTTGCATATGTGTCTTACCTAACAATAAGATGGATTACCGACAGACCCCTGGCTGTCTTCAAGAAGGCACTGGACAGGCACCTAAAGTCAGTATCTGACCAACCGGGCTGTGGTTCGTACGTCAATTTGCGTGGGGCCAGCAGTAACAGCCTGGTTGATCAGACACTGATCCACCACGAGGCCTGGTCTCAGACCGAGCCACGAAGGCGTTGACCCCTGAAACCCTCTGCAGGCATACCTCAACATCTTCCCCTAACCCCTACCTGCCCCCCCTCCCTCACACGCACATACACATACACACAAAAAATAAGAACTTGATTGAGAGGAAGAGACTGGTGGTCAACAACTTGGACAGAACAAAGAAACTAAGATTTCGATAATACCCAGCACAATAAACCCAGGAAAACTATCACATTAAAATAAAGACAATATAACACTGAGATCACAAATAATTTGGGAACAATAATAAAAGAACAAAGATAGTTCAGGTGGTTTTAAAAATCTTGCTGCTACTAAACAAGGGACTACAACAGTACACAATACACAAATAACCCGCACATAAAAGAGAGAAGCTTACGACGACGTTTCGGTCCGACTTGGACCATTGACAAAGTCACACCATTGACTTTGTCAATGGTCCAAGTCGGACCGAAACGTCGTCGTAAGCTTCTCTCTTTTATGTGCGGGTTATTTGTGTATCGTTCCAGTCACGGTATTGTGCCTTTTTGTTATTTATTTATTTATTGACTGCAACAGTAACATGGCTGTAATAATGACTACCACAATGAAAGCAACTGTCTTCAGAGTGGATAAGTGTACAATTCATAATTCCTAAGAAATAGTCTGCAACTTAGGAGACTATTATTGTTGATAAGAAGCATGGAGAATAAAGCTAGTAAATGATATAATAAGCCGCAAGTATTAAAAGCTTGGAGAAGGCGGTGAGCTAAATAAACTAAACTTAATACGTATTCACCCAGAAAAAAATAGACATTTAAATTAGCTATTTTGAACTACTCTAGAGCCAAAAAAAATATATGCTAAGTAATAGTTTATATAATAAAAAGAATATGGATGACATTGTACACCATAACATACCCGTCTTTTATGTACCACCCTTCAAGAGGTGTGCCCCAATACTAGTGAAAGGCTCTTGATTCAAGGAAATGGAGTATTAACCCATTTTTTTATATAATTACTTTTTATTCCCAGGTGCTGCATGACCCGTACGGGTTTAGCCGTTTGTGAATATAATAATCGTGTTGAGCACATGAACACCTACTAGCATATAATAATACTCACGTAACTGGCATTGCCCCAGCCAGTCTTAGGGCTCCACATCTTGCCCTCTCCGAGCATGCCCAGGGCAAGGTGGGACAGGGGGGCCAGGTCCCCGGACGCACCCACCGTCCCTTTCTCCGGTACCCAAGGTAAACACGATGCTACGAAGACCGGAGAAAACACAATCAGTCAACATCGGGAAAAATGTGTTGTTATTTTATTGACAAGGAACTCTGGCAAAACTGAGTGAGGGGAGACTTGGAATTATCAATAATCTGAGTGAAGGGGAAAGACTGGTATTCGTCCACAGTTTCAGTAGGGTGTAATATGAGTGGAGGCATAAGCTGTTAGGGGTAAGTAATTCTTTTTTCAACATCCTTAATAAAAAAAAACTCAGTAAAGATTAAATTAATTTGCTTTTGTGATTGAGGACCAAGTGAAACATTTAGGTCATTACCACGGAAGATCACTTTGGTTGGCAAAAGAAGCAACGAGGCAATTAGTTGAGAAATGCACATGAAACAGCGTAAAGCTTTGTTATATCGACGTTTCGCTCAGAGAGATAACTTAATACCTTCTTATGCAAACCATTTCTACAATAAAGGCTTATGCTGTTCCATGTATCTTTGTCACCCAAAAATTACGTCGAAAAGGATAAGCAAGGCGCATGTTTGCTAGTCACATGGCTCTGGGTTATTTCATTCGTGTCCTGCAGGATCAAGTTCTTTTACCGGTACCAAGTTGCTGGTATTTTTTGTCTTTTAGCATGCGGAAATTTACCTGAGACAAGATACCACAAAAGTTGTAAAATTACACAGAACTTTAAAGAATTCAGTATACTGAAAGAGGACTGACCACTGAAGGCTTCACTGTACTAGGAAAAGATTGCCCATTGAAGGTCTCAGTGTACTGACTAACCACTGAAGCCACGAAATACCTATTGAAGATTGACCATTGAAGGCTTCAATGTACTGGAAAATGACTGACCATTAAAGGCTTCAATGTACTGGGAGAGAACCTGAAGACTGATCCCAGAGCATCCCTTGGCCAGGACGTTGATCCTCAGGGCTAGCAGCATCCGTGTCTTCTCCGTCGAGAGCGGGTCGCCCACACCAGCAGAATGAGAGCGGATCAGGTTGAGCTGCAGCTCTCTAGGGAAGGATATAGGATCAGACACATGTGTCTTAACTTTCACATTATTATTACATTTATGTGAAATGATGAATGTAAGTCATGCAGCACTTGGAGTGATGGAGGCTTGACCCTCCAACATTCAGCACTTGGAGTGATGGAGGCTTGACCCTCCAACATTCAGCACTTGGAGTGATGGAGGCTTGACCCTCCAACATTCAGCACTTGGAGTGATGGAGGCTTGACCCTCCAACATTCAGCACTTGGAGTGATGGAGGTTTGACCCTCCAACATTCCTAACCGTGGATAATTGAGACAGGTTCAACATTTGGGTATCTTTATTAAGGAAACTTTCGCCATACAGTACCTTCTTCATTCTAATACAGAGAAGAACGGTGGAAGATGAGGAGATTGAGGTAATCAGTCCCTCAGTCTGGAGTCGATGTATTTAATTTATCAGTCTTGATAAAAGTACCTGAAGAAGCCATTGGCTGGCGAAACGTTTCCAGAATAAAAAATTTCCAAATGTTGCACGTGTCTCAGTTATCAACTTGCCGGTTTTCTAAAAACATTTATACGGTTTCCTGACCGTGGTTGAAGCGTGTGTGTAACAACACTGGAGGCTTGATCCACTGACAACCCTGACCGTGGTTGAAGCGTGTGTGTAACAACACTGGAGGCTTGATCCACCGACAACCCTGACCGTGGTTGAAGCGTGTGTGTAGCAACACTGGAGGCTTGATCCACCGACAACCCTGACCGTGGATGAAGCGTGTATGTAACAACACTGGAGGCTTGATCCACCGACAACCCTGACCGTGGATGAAGCGTGTATGTAACAACACTGGAGGCTTGATCCACCGACAACCCTGACCGTGGCCGGAGCAGTTCATAACTAACCAATAAATTAGAAATGAAATCTGGACAATATTTGTATGTAACGTGACTCAGTAATTGCTCGCCACAGAGGAATAATTTTCTATAGTGTTACTGAAAATTCTTTGCACAGCTCTTGGGACATTAATCCATATTTACAAAGTGCACATTAAAGTATCAGACTGGAGGGAGGAAGTAGATGTATTCAGATATTTGGCAGCGGACTTGTCAGTAGACGGATGTTTGAAAGACGAGACGAACCATAGAAAAGACGAGAGGAAGAAGGTTGGTGATACACTGAAGCGTCTGTACAAACATAAGAACATAAGAAAGGAGGCACACTGCAGGAGGCCTGTTGGCCCATACTAGGCAGGTCCTTTACAATTCATCCCACTAACAAAACATTTGCCCAACCCAATTTTCAATGCCACCCAAGAAATAAGCTCTGATTTGAAAGTCCCACTCAAATCCAACCCCTCCCACTCATGTACTTATCCAACCTAAATTTGAAACTACCCGAAGTCCCAGCCTCAATAACCCAACTAGGTAGACTGTTCCACTCATCAACTACCCTATTTCCAAACCAATACTTTCCTATGTCCTTTCTAAATCTAAACTTATCTAATTTAAATCCATTACTGCGGGTTCTCTCTTGGAGAGACATCCTCAAGACCTTATTAATATCCCCTTTATTAATACCTATCTTCCACTTATACACCTCGATCAGGTCTCCCCTCATTCTTCGTCTAACAAGTGAATGTAACTTAAGAGTCTTCAATCTTTCTTCATAAGGAAGATTTCAAATGCTATGTATTAATTTAGTCTTCCTACGCTGAATGTTTTCTAACGACTTTATGTCCATTCTGTAATATGGAGACCAGAACTGAGCTGCATAATCTAGGTGAGGCCTTACTAATGATGTATAAAGCTGTAGTATGACCTCTGGACTTCTGTTGCTTACACTTCTTGATATAAATCCCAGTAATCTATTTGCCTTATTACGTACGCTTAGGCATTGCTGTCTTGGTTTAAGGTTGCTGCTCACCATAACCCCCAAGTCCTTTTCGCAATCTGTATGGCTAAGTTCTACATCATTTAACTTATAAGTACTAGGGTTATGGGCACTCCCAAGCTTCAGAACCTTGCATTTATCTACATTGAACTGCATCTGCCACTTTTCTGACCAAGAATAGAGTTTGTTTAAATCCTCCTGAAGTTCCATAACATCTACGTTTGAATCAATTATCCTACCTATCTTTGTGTCATCGGCGAATTTGCTCATATCACTAGTAATTCCCTCATCAAGATCATTGATATATATTATAAACAACAACGGGCCCAAGACTGATCCCTGTGGATCAGATCCCCACTCGGATTTAACCCCATTTATGGACACTCTCTGCTTCCTGTCAGTGAGCCATGACTCGATCCACGAGAGCACTTTTCCCCCAATGCCATGAGCTGCCACTTTCTTTAACAGTCAATGGTGCGGAACTCTATCAAAAGCCTTACTAAAATCTAAGTAAATAATATCAAATTCTTTATCGTGGTCAACAGCCTCAAAAGCTTTACTGAAGAAAGTTAATAAATTAGTTAGACAAGACCGGCCTCTTGTGAATCCATGCTGAGTATCATTAATCAAGCTATGCTTATCGAGATGGCTTCTTATAATCTCAGCTATAATTGACTCTAGTAATTTGCCTACAATTGAGGTCAGGCTTATTGGGCGGTAATTTGACGGTAACGACTTGTCCCCTGTTTTAAAAATAGAATTACATTAGCCATCTTCCACATATCAGACACTACACCTGTTTGAAGAGATAAATTAAAAATATTAGTTAATGGTTCACAGAGTTCCATTTTGCATTCCTTAAGAACCCTTGAAAAAACCTCATCAGGACCCGGCGACTTATTTTGCTTCAGTCTGTCTATCTGCTTCACAACCATTTCACTAGTGACTGTGATGTTACATAATTTATCCTCTTCTAGCCCACTATAAAAATTAATTACTGGAATATTGTTAGTGTCTTCCTGTGTAAAAACTGAGAGAAAATAATTATTAAAAATCGAGCACATTTCATTCTCTTTGTCAGTAAGGTGCCCATAGGTATTTTTAAGGGGACCTATCTTATCTCTAACTTTTGTTCTATATACCTGGAAAAAACTTTTTGGGTTAGTTTTAGAATCCCTAGCAACTTTAATTTCATAGTCCCTTTTAGCTTTTCTTATCCCCTTTTTAATGTCCCTCTTAATGTCAATATACTGATTCATAAGATGACCCTCACCTCTTTTGATACGCCTATAAATTCCTTTCTTATGCCCTAGTAGATATTTGAGCCTATGAAGGCAAAATGGAATGTACCAGAGTATAATAATATTAGTTAATATTTGAGAACAATATGAGGGGTGAATATTATGCAGGGAATATGGAGAATGGAGATTAGATAGCATTAAAAACAATTGGTTAGCTGGACTTGACTCTTGGATGTATAGTTAGTACAGTGTCTGCCTCCGATGGAGGGGCGAGGATGTGGTCGGAAGGTCAGCTCAGCTGTAGGTATCACACTTCCAGCAAGACAGAGACTGAAAGAATGATGTTAAATATGTTTCCTCTTTTATTGGGTCGCCTCACCCACCTAGGTGTTTAAAAAACATAATTAAAACAAAATGATGACCCTTCAGGGAATATTATCAAACACATCTGATGTAAAACTGGACGACTGTCTGCAACTAAGGCCACTCAAGATACTGAAGTTGAGAAAAGGCTCAGGTGCAGAACAGACTGTGACAACGTTTCGCTCTGTATAGAGCTTTATCGCAAAAAAAAACTTGTTCTCCACCTGTGTCTTTCCACCAGTGTTGACGGTACATCTTTGTATTCAGGCTGGAAAGGTTTTCCCAGGTGCTAACTTGATGATAATAATAATAATAATAATAATAATAATAATACTTTTCCGTCTCCATTTTGATCTCTTGTATCATTCGTACTGACGTTCTTCCTGCACAGAATGTTGATGTTCAGTAAACTACCTTCTTTAACGAGGGCAACAAATCTGTACAGTAAAATAGCTTACTTACTCAATATTCTCGTTGGAGATGATAGTGCGAGCGAACTTGCCAAAGCCAGTAGTGACGCCGTACACAACTGAAATATAAAAGCCTCGTTTTGACTATTATTTTATAATAAACTGATTTGCTGGCTAGGAGTTGTTGTGCTTCCAGCATATTTTACAGTCTAGATCGCTGTTGCCTTGCCTCAACTTATTTACAGGCTATGACCTCTTATCCTACCTCAGCTCATTTACGGACTTGAAGCTGTTATCCTACTTCAGCTTATTTACAGGCTTGGACGTGTTGTCCAACCTTAACCAGTTTGCAGGTTATGAGATGTTACTCTACCTCAGCTCATGTACTGGGAAAGAGCTCTTATCCCACCGTAGTTTAGTTGCAGGATAAGAACTGTTATCCCACCTCAGCTCACATGTGGGCCAGAAGCTGTTATCCCACTTCGGCTCATTCCTAAGCCCAGCTATATGTAAGATGCAGGGTTGCCAAGTTTCTGTTTCTAGATAAATTAATTTTTTTTCAAAAAGGACTAACAAAAGGCAAGTCACTGCCAAAGACGGCATTAACAAATATTATTTAATTATAGGTGATCATCATGTATTGATACGTTTAAAAACAGTTCTAGAAATCTAATCAAATTTCATAAAAATTATTGGATTCGTCGTCAAATTGTCTATAGATATTGACTTTAACATTGATGGTATTTCAAGGTAAAGGTGGTTATAATTATAATTTTTAAATGGGTGGGCTGGTAAGCCAGTGGAAGGTCTCGGTCAGATGATGAAAAGGTCCAGTGGCGGGTCATTATGTGACTAAGACCCGCATCAGGAAACACCTGTCCTGTTTCCTGACGAATTTTACCTAACCTAGTGTAATTTTACCTAACCTAGTGTAATTTTACCTAACCTAGTGTAATTTTACCTAATCTAGTGTAATTTTACCTAACCTAGTGTAATTTTACCTAACCTAGTGTAATTTTACCTAACCTAGTGTAATTTTACCTAACCTAGTGTAATTTTACCTAACCTAGTGTAATTTTACCTAACCTAGTGTAATTTTACCTAACCTAGTGTAATTTTACCTAACCTAGTGTAATTTTACCTAACCTAGTGTAATTTTACCTAACCTAGTGTAATTTCAATAATCTGGGTTCGGTTTTTATTTACAAAATTATTAGATATAATTAGCGTCTTTTACTTCTTGTAACTCTCTTCGTTACTAGCAAGATGACTGATAATTGTTTGCGGGGCCTCTATGGTTTGTGTCGAGAGTGCTTCTTGTTTTAGTCTTAATATTTGTTACATATGAGAAAATTCATCGTGTTTATCAATACCTTCATGCGTCACCAGGTTACTTTTAGGCTGTGTTAATTGAACAGCCACACAGTTGACAGCAACAAGATTCACCTCTGTTGGTAAACCACATAAAATTAATCCCATTCCCCATATATTATTGTATCCCTGTATGAGTTCTTCAATTTACTCGTTTTTTTAGTATATATATATATATATATATATATATATATATATATATATATATATATATATATATATATATATATATAATATATAATATATATAGTTAACAAGTCGGCCGTCTCCCACCGAGGCAGGGTGACCGAAAAAGAAAATACTTTCATCATCATTCAACACTTTCACCTCACTCACACATGATCACTGTTTTTGCAGAGGTGCCCAGAACACAACAGTTTAGAAGCATATACGTATAAACATATACAAAATATCCCTCCAAACTGCCAATATCCCAAACCCCTCCTTTAGAGTGCAGGCATTGTACTTCCCATTTCCAGGACTCAAGTCGGGCTATATAACAATAACCGGTTTCCCTGAATTCCTTCACTAAATATTACTCTGCTCACACTCCAACAGCTCGTCAGGTCCCAAATACCATTCGTCTCCATTCACTCCTATCGAACACGCTCACGCACGCTTGCTGGAAGTCCAAGCTCCTCGCCCACAAAACCTCCTTTACCCCTTCCAACCTTTTCGAGGACGACCCCTACCCCGCCTTCCTTCCTCTCCAGATTTATACGCTCTCCATGTCATTCTACTTTGATCCATTCTCTCTAAATGACCAAACCACCTCGGCAACCCCTCTTCAGCCCTCTGACATACTTTTATTAACTCCACACCTTCTCCTAATTTCCACACTCCGAATTCTCTGCATAATATTTACACCACACATTGCCCTTAGACAGGACATCTCCACTGCCTCCAACCGCCTCCTCGCTGCAGCATTTACAACCCAAGCTTCACAACCATATAAGAGCGTTGGTACCACTACACTCTCGTACATTCCCTTCATTGCCTCCATGGATAACGTTTTTTTTTTTTTTGTCTCCACATATACCTCAGCGCACCACTCGCCTTTTTTTCTTCATCAATTCTATGGTTAACTGATCCCTCATGAACCCATCCACTGGCAAGTCGACTCCCAAATATCTGAAAACATTCACTTCTTTCATACTCACTCCCTCCAATGTGATATCCAATTTTTTTTATCTAAATCATTTGATACCCTCATCACCTTACTCTTATATATATTCATTTTCAACTTTCTACCTTTACACACACTCCCAAACTCGTCCACTAACCTTTGCAACTTTTCTCTACAATCCCCCAAAAGCAGAGTATCATCAGCAAAAAGTAACTGTGTCAACTCCCATTTTGTATCCGATTCCCCATAACTTAATCCCACCTCTCTCCCCAACACTCTAGCAGTTACTTCTTTTACAACCCCTTCTATAAATATGTTAAAAACCATGGTTACATTACACATCCCTGTCTAAGACCTACTTTTACTGGAAGTAATCCCCCTCTCTCCTACACACCCTAACCTGAGTCTCACCATCCTCATAAAAACTCTTTGGAGCATTTAGTAACTTACTACCTATTCCACACACTTGCAACATCTGCCACATTGCTCCCCTATCCACTCTATCATATGCCTTTTCTAAATCCATAAATGCATAAATCCATAAATGGACTGAATACTGTTCACATAATCTACACATCTTCTACCCATTCTAAAGCCTTACCTCTAATTCTTTCAATAATAACCCTACTATACCGTTTACCTGGTATACTCAGTAAACTTATTCCCCGATAATTTTTACAATCTCTTTTGTCCCTCTTCCTTTATATAAAGGAACTATACACACACTCTGCTAGTCCCTAGGTACCTTCACCTCTTTCATACATTTATTAAACAAAAGTACCAACCACGCCAACACTATATCCCTCCCCCTTGCTTTTAACATTTCTGTCATGATCCCGTCAGTTCCATCTGCTTTACCCCCTTTCATTCTACATTATGCCTCACGCACCTCCCCCACACTCACATTCTGCTCTTCTTCACTCCTAAAAAATATTATACCTCCCTAGCCATTGTATAAAATTACTGCCTCACTTTCATCATCAACACTTAAAAGTTCCTCAAAATATTCCCACCATCTACCCAATACCTCCAGCTCCCCATCTACTAACTTCCCTACTCTGTTTTTAACTGACAAATCCATTCGTTCCCTAGGCTTTCTTAACTTGTTTATCTCACTCCAATTTTTTTTCTTATTCTCAGCAAAATTTCTTGGCAGTGCCTCTCCCACTCTGTCACTTGCTCTCCTTGTGCACACTCTCACGACTTTACCTTTTTTTTACTCTCCATATACTCTGCCCTTCTTATATCACTTATGCTTTGTAAAAGCCTCTCATATGCTACCTTTTTCTCTTATCGCATCCTTTATTTCATCATTCCACTAATCACTCCTCTTTCCTCCTGTACCCACCCTCCTATAACCACAAACTTCTGCCCCACATTCTAATACTGCATTTTTAAAACTATCCCATCTCTCTTCAACCCCCCTTCCCCATTACCCATACTTGCGCTATCCCACCTTTCTGCCAATAGTTGCTTATATCTCACCCTAACTTCCTCCTCCCTTAGTTTATACACTTTCACCTCTCTCTTACTTACTGTTGCCATTTTCCTTTTGTCTCATCCATCTCTTACTCTAACTGTAGCTACAACTAGATAATGATCCGATGTATTAGTTGCCCCTCTATAAACGTGTACATACTGAAGCCTACCCATCAACCTTTTATCCACCAGTTCATAATCTGACTAATTTCATTACGTGCTATGTCATACCTTGTATACTTATTTATCCTCTTTTTCATAAACTATGTATTACTTATTGCCAAACCTCTTTCTATACATAGCTCAATTAAAGGCTCCCATTTTCATTTACCCCTGGCACCCCAAATTTACCTACTACTCCATCCACCACATTTTTACCCACTTTAGCATTGAGATCCCCAACCACACGTACTCTCTCATATGGTTCAAAACTCTCCAGGTGCATAAAAACTATAACCCACTTTTTACATCCAATCCGTATTTGACTCCAAATAATCCTTGAATTTATACATTTGTATGCCTTCTTTTCCTGTCATGACTTATCCTTAAACATTATTGCTACTCCTTCCTTAGCTCTGACTCTATTAGAAACCTCTGACCTAATCCCATTTATTTCTCCCCACTGAAACTTTCCCACCCCTTCAGCTTTGTTTCACTTAGAGTCAGGACTTTTATATATATATATATATATATATATAATATATATATATATATATATATATATATATATATATATATATATATATATATATATATATATATATATATATATATATATATATATATATATATATATATATTATTTTATATCACGTGTGAACTTTATTAATAAACAGAATACATTGACAGGGAACACAAACATGAATACACTGGTACAATATATCAAAGTTTATGAATCTCCTCCAGCTCCTGTGAAGCCAGATGCGAACCCAGTGTGCAGCATGCTTTCCCCTCTGGATGGCCACGCTGAGGCGCTGGAACATGAAAGTGGCTGCCCTTGGGTCCCTGGTGGTGTCGATGAGTCTGGAACCCAATTCTTTAAGGAAACGTGTGGCATTTTTCCCCCATGATCCCAAGGTCTCTGATCCCACTGGTACAAATTGATGCTGTTGGCTTATGTCCCTGTACTTGCTGATCTTGTACTCCTCCCTGTCGCCCGACACTGTGATGGATGTAGGTGTCAGGCAGCGTCGACACACAGGTACAGTCCCATGCTAAAAGCTGGCAATTCTTCCAAGAATAGATGGTAATTCCATCGGGGCGGTTTACTGGATATATATATATATATATATATATATATATATATATATATATATATATATATATATATATATATATATATATATATATATATTCTTTCTTCCTTTCAACACACCGGCCGTATCCCACCGAGGTGGGGTGGCCCAAAAGGAAAAACGAAAGTTTCTCCTTTTACATTTAGTAATATATACAGGAGAAGAGGTTACTAGCCCCTTGCTCCCGGCATTTTAGTCGCCTCTTACAACACACATGGCTTACGGAGGAAGAATTCTGTTCCACTTCCCCATGGAGGTAAGAGAAGATAAACAACAAGTACAAGAACTTGTAAGAAAATATTAGAAAACCCAGAGGGGTGTGTATATAATATATATATTCTTGTACATGTATGTGTAGTGTGACCTAAGTGTAAGTAGAAGTAGCAAGACATACCTGAAATCTTGTATATATATATATATATATATATATATATATATATATATATATATATATATTATATATATATAAAACACCGATCTTTGGCCGAAGGAGACTCGAACCTACGAACCTTGGAACAAGGTACGCAGTGCTTTACCATCCTCACTACACTGGACCAATACATTGGCGCCCAGCTCACGCTAGACGTTTTGATCCAAGGCAACCAGCTTTCAGGGAGGAGGCTTACAGCTTTTCATCTCATCCCCTGCATGCATCGACCAAATAGAGATTTTAACAATGCAAGGAATTCGCAAGAGCAGGCAAAATATAGTTGGTCGATGCATTCGGGGGATGAGATGAAAAGCTGTAAGCCTCCTCCCTGAAAGCTGGCTGCCTTGGATCAAAACGTCTAGCTTAAGCTGGGCACCAAGGTATTGGTCCAGTGTGGTGAGGATGGTAAAGCACTGCGTACCTTGTTCCAAGGTTCGTAGGTTCGAGTCTCCTTCGGTCAAAGATCGGTGTTTGTATATATATATATATATATATATATATATATATATATATATATATATATATATATATATATATATACATGCAAGATTTCAGGTATGTCTTGCTATGACATACGGTGGTGTGGATGCTTCTGAGCTAATTTCATTCTACTCCCTGTTGGTGTACTAGCCCAATGAGCAGTATTTTATATTGTACCCACGAACGAGTGCTTCATTCTTAAAGATTGTGTGGTTCCATGGACTAGATCGTCATGAGTTTTCGCTCACCATGAGGAAGGCTAAAGCAGCATGGGTTCGACTCCTTGGCTAGTCGCAGTGTTGTTATTGATCAATACCACTCGAAAGCCTGGATAAATGGTCACATTGTAATCGATCTCAAAGTCAGAAGCTTTTAAAGGTCAACCAATGACTGGAAAAGTCTAAAATTACCTTTCTAGGTTATATCTGGTAACCGTGGCAAGACAAACAACTACTTTCTGATTGTGTTCCCCTACCTTTTAAATGGAGGGTAAACCGACGGTGGTGAATTGGTATTGATATAAGGAATCAGGGCTGCCGTCCACTACCATGGATTAGACCTGATTACTTCCCAGGCGTTGTACACTGACGGATTTCGACCGTTCCCACGAACCTAAGCATTGAGTAGTGTGTAACCTGACCTTACCTGTAGTTTGACCTGACCTTTTTTCTCCTTAATGATGTCCTCGACCAGTTTGCGAGCAGCCTTCACTGCCTCCACCGCCTCCTGACTCAGCTGTGGGGGGGGGGGGGGGTAGGTCGTTCAGTGAAAAACATCATAATAAACCATAATAATATATACAAGCATAAAATATACAAGGAAAATTGGTGAGCAAAACACTGCCGTCTTCCCTTTTTTCACAATATTTTGCCACGAATTGACTTAATAAAATATATTTGTACCAATAAGACTCCTTCAATCACAGTCCTAATACTCTCAGTGCTTCACATTTCTCAATGCTAATACAGTAAAATACAGTGTATTAGATCACAATATAACAAAATGAAGGATAATACAATAAAGCAAAATACAACAATACAGTTAGTTAAATATTAGCCGGTATTCTCCCGCCCGGGCCTTGTCCAAGTGGTGGCCCGGCCTTGGCTCCCTCTTTAGGGAGTGTCTGAGACCTAAGTCTCCCATGGGAGGAGGCACAAGTACCTCCTCATCTTTGGGACCAACTGTCCCCAGGCCTAGCCACAAGCTAGGCCTCTCTGGTCTGTCATCCCCGCCCCAAGGGGGCTAATGGGAATGACAGTCTTATGAGCTAAAGGCTCGGGCTCAGGCACCTACCCTACCCTAGAAGGGTTAGGTATGGTGTCGATCCAACAATACATCAATGTGTGTGTATATATATGTTGTGCCGGATGGCAAAACTGGTCAATTAGCAGGAACTCATTTAAAATAAAGTCCTCTTTAAATTTTTCTCTTATACATTTAAAGATATACTTTTTTCATTTATGCTAATATAAAAATTAATAATTTTATACCAAAAGTACCTTAGAGACTTACCTACTTACCTAACCTTAATATTAACAAGCGCAATTTAACTTAGCCTAATCCAACTTAATATATTTTATATAAGTTTACTATAATTTAATAATAAAGAAATGCAATGAAATATACTTATTTTCGTTAGTTTCAGAATTATTTTTGCGAAATTACTGCATACACAGATTTTCGCTTGCCTTATTCGGCAAGAAGTGCGTTGCTATTTAAGCGAAAATAACAACTTACACACACACGTATATATATATATATATATATATATATATATATATATATATATATATATATATATATATATTATATATATATATATATATATATATATATATATATATATGTCGTGCCGAATAAGCAGAACTTGCGATCTTGGCTTAAATAGCAACGCTCATCTTGTCATATAGGACAAGAGAAAATTTGTGTATGCAATAATTTCGCCAAAATCATTCTGAACCTAACGAAAAATATATATTTCACTGTGTTTGTTTAGTATTAAATTATTGTAAACAAATCTAAAATATATTTAGTTGGGTTAGGGTAAAATAAACTTGTATTAAGGTATAGTTTTCTAAGATTCTTTTGGTGCAAAATTAAAAATTTTTACATTAACATTAATGAAAAAATATATCTTTAAACGTATAAGAGAAAATTTTAGAAAGGATTTAATTTTAAATGAGTTGTTGCTAATTGACCGGTTTTACATATTAGGCACGACATATATATATATATATATTATATATATATATATATATATATATATATATATATATATATATATATATATATATATAATATATATATATAAAGGGCTAGGTTTTAAGTTGACCGCGAGGTGTAATCTCGCCCTTTTATGCCTTTCTGTTGATCTTTTATTTTTGAGGCATGATAAGTGTAAATCAAATCTGGGAACAGAAGGGCTTGAACCAATAACATGAGACTCCTAAAACTCTCAGGCCAGTGCGTTAACCACTGGATCACTAGGCCCCACTGTGGCCACAACTGCAGACGACTCCCACATCAACATGGCTGGGCTTGTATCATGGTTCTAAAACTTAAGTGAGCTACAGTAATTATTCATTAAACAGGTGACCTGGATAACCATAACTATCATAACCCTACTTTCAGTTCTGGCAAAAAGTAACTCTGTTCTTAATCGTATAAACCTAAATTTGTGTTATGTAAATCATTTTAAGGTACCTGGATGCTAATGAAGGTCTCTTAATCCACGGAATTAGAGCTGCCCTTTCTTGAATCAGGTCCTATGGGCTTGACTCTTCCCATGTGTAATAATATGACTTAAATTAGACGTGTTGTCCCGAACTCTGCTCATGCCAGAACAGTTGTGTAGCCTGGTAAATAATAGTAGAATTTTGTTGTAGTTGAGGATATTTGAGCAGCGCTGTATGACTCTGGTGGGTTTAGCGCTTGGTTTTGATTGTAATAACAGTAATGAATATATTTGTATCGTGGTGTTAAGAGTGATCTGGTCATTGTTTAAGTCAGTTTAATGGAGTCACTATACCACTTTTGCCTAACTAATATTGTAAAGAAATTTCTGTCAAAACAGTCGTAGTTTTGTCTACGTATTTTATTATCATATCGTATAAATAGTTAACTGAGTATAGGGAAAATCTTTGAATAATATTTAATAAGGAACATTCTCGTTATTAATAATGTTTATGTTAATGAAGTTGTTAATGTACTGAATAATAGATTATATACTGAGCATTACATTATATTCTGACCAATAGAAAAACCAGACACTGGTTTTTGTCGTGAGATGACCGGTTTAGCGGTGCCTGCGCTGTTAGGGAGGGGGGAACACTGTGTTTAAGGTTAGAAGCAAGAATACCCAGTGGTCGTATGAGAAGCCACGACAAGCTACGACAACGACGACCGCTGGTTTGCCGAGGCTGCTTTTACTTTAGCACGGGAACCAGCATAAAAAAATTACTAGAGAGGAAGGAAAAGTTTCTTGAAAAATTATGTGACGTTGTTGAGATTCGAGCCCACAGATGTGCTCACCTAGTTGTGTTCACCTGGTTGTGGTTGCAGGGGTCGAGTCACAGCTCCTGGTTGCTACTCGGTCACTCTTCCCGCACCATGAACCATATCATACCTCTTCTAATGTGTGTGTGTGTGTGTGTGTGTTGATAGCAGCTACTCACCCTGATCTTGTAAGCTCCCTTGCCCAGGGCTGTGAGGTCCTCAGGGGTGAGCGTAGCACCATCCAAGGTGAGGTAGTCGTCAGGAGCCACGTAACGACCTGGTCTGGGCATTGTTAAGGAAATCTGCTGCTGCTGAAAATTGGTTAGTCAGATAAACTGGTGTTGATGCGGGTATTGCTCACACGATCACCTACTCAGCAGCCTTTAGTGTACAGACTCTGGGGACTCGCCTCTAGTGTACACGCCCTTGGGACTTACCTCTAGTGTACAGACTCTGGGAACTCACCTCTAGTGTACAGACTCTGGGAACTCGTCTCTAGTGTACAGACTCTGGGGACTCACTTCTAGTGTTGAGGCTCTGGGGACTCACCTCTAATGTACAGATTCTGGGGACTCACCTCTAGTGCACAGACTCTGGGAACTCACCTCTAGTATACAGACTCAGTTGACTCACCCCTAGTGTACAGACTCTGGGGGACTCACCTCTGGTATATAGACTCTGGGGACTAACATCTAGTGTACAGACTCTGGGGACTCACCTCTAGTGTACAGACTCTGGAGACTCACCTCTAGTGTACAGACTCTTGGGACTCACCTTTAGTGTACAGCCTCTGGGAACTCATCTCTAGTGTACAGACTCTGGGGACTCAACTCTAGTGTACAAACTTTGGGGACTCACTTCTAGTATACAGGCTGGGGACTCACCTCTAGAGTACAGACTCTGCGCACTCACCTCTGTGGTACAGACTCCGGGGACTCACATCTAATATACAGACTGGGGGCTCACCTCTAGTGTACAGACTCTGGGGACTCACTTCTAGTATACAGACTGGGTACTCACCTCTAGTGTACAGACTCTGGGGACTCACTTCTAGTGTACAGACTCTGGACACACCTCTAGGGTACAGATTCTGGGGACTCACCTCTAGTGTACAGACTCTGGGGACTCACCTCTAGTGGACAGATTGGGACCTCACTTCTATATACAGACTGGTATCACCTCTAGTGTACAGACTCTGGAGACTCACTTCTAGTAGTACAGACTCTGAACACACCTCTAGGTACAGATCTGGGACTCACCTCTAGTGTACAGACTCTGGGACTCACCTCTAGTTACAGACTCTGGGACTCACTCTAGTGTGAAGACCTGAAGGACCACCTTAGTGTACAGACCTGGGGACTCACCTCTTGTACAATTTGGGGACTCCTTGTATAATACTGGACTCACCTCTATGTACAGACTCTGGACTCACTTCTAGTGTACAGACTCTGGGACTCATCCCGAGTACGATCTGGGGACTCAACTCTAGTGTTACAGACTCTGGGGACTCACTTTAGTGTACAATTCTGGGACTACCTCTAGTTACAGACCTGGACTCACCTCTAGTGTGCACTCTGGACTCACCTCTGTGTACAGACTCTTGATCACCTCTAGTGTACGACCTGGGGACTCACTCTAGTGTACAGGCTCTGGGAACACATCTTACAAAATTAGTGTTGGTTCTACAAGCAGAGTTGTGTTCAGCGCGTCTCCCTACTAAAGTGAGTACATCAGGCGTACAGACCAAGCCAACTAAGGAGGTTGTACTCATACTCGTAAGTCTAGGTTATTTGTAAAGTTACTCTGATTATAGGTATACAGTAACGACAAGTGATGAATAAGACACATGGGCAACACTTTGGTATCTTTCTTTACGAAATGTTTCGCCTACACTGTAGGATTCTGTAGTTGATTACATCGGTGACTATGACGGAGAGCATGTAGCTAGACGCTTCTCAAGTCTTAGGGGCTCACTGCCTCAAAATTACTACTTCAAGATTAAAACTGATCGTATCGTATTTGCCTCTCGTTTTGTCAAAAATTTTATTAGTATCTGTACTGGACTTAGAATTCTGCATGTGTAGGCGAAGTTTCTGGAACAAAGACACCAAGAGATTGGATGTTTGTCTTTAACCAAAAAGCTTTTTTTTTCACAAATCTACAGCTCTTGATCCAGAATTAATGCTGTGTTCCTCGTATCAAACCTGATTACCTGCTGTCCAGCGTTGTGTGCCATACAGCGTTTAATGCTTCATTAATTACAGAATACTGTATGTATTATTATTATAATTATGGGGAGCACTAAACCCGTAGAATTATAGCATGTGGGGGGTTGGGGGGTTTAAGGTATTCAGGCTCAATTCAAGGAACTGGAGCACAGATCCAATTCCCTGGATCACGGAGTATATATGGCATGACGGAGGTGACTGAGGTTCAGTCGTATTTACAGGGAGGTGAATGTGAGGTTCAGTCGCATTTACAGGGAGGTGAATGTGAGGTTCAGTCGTACATACAGGGAGGTGAATGTGAGGTTCAGTCGTACTTACAGGGAGGTGAATGTGAGGTTCAGTCGCATTTACAGGGAGGTGAATGTGAGGTTCAGTCGTACTTACAGGGAGGTGAATGTGAGGTTCAGTCGTATTTACATGGAGGTGACTATTAGACAAAAGGGCAGGAAGGGAAAGTGGTGATGCTGGTGACTATGACATATATATGAGTGGTGATGCTGGTGACTGATGTTATGAGTGGTGAGGCTGGTGACTGAGATATATGAGTAGTGAGGCTGGTGACTGTGAGGTATATGAGTGGTGAGGATGGTGACTGAGATATGTGAGTGGTGAGGCTGGTGACTGTGAGGTATATGAGGGTGAGGCTGGTGACTGAGATATATGAGTGGTGAGGCTGGTGACTGTGAGGGATATGAGTGGTGAGGTTGGTGACTGATGTTATGAGTGGTGATGGTGGTGACTGATGTTATGAGTGGTGATGGTGGTGACTGATGTTATGAGTGGTGAGGCTGGTGACTGATGTTATGAGTGGTGATGCTGGTGACTGATGTTATGAGTGGTGAGGCTGGTGACTGAGATATATGAGTAGTGAGGCTGGTGACTGAGATATATGAGTGGTGAGGGTGGTGACTGTGAGGTATATGAGTGATGAGGCTGGTGACTGTGATGTATATGAGTGGTGAGGCTGGTGACTGTGATATATGAGTGGTGAGGCTGGTGACTGTGAGATATATAAGTGGTGAGGCTGGTGACTGTGAGGTATATGAGTGGTGAGGGTGGTGGCTGAGATATGAGTGGTGAGGCTGGTGACTGTGAGATATATGAATGATGAGGCTGGTGGCTGAGATATGAGTGGTGAGGCTGGGGACTGTGAGATATGTAAGTGGTGAGGCTGGGGACTGTGAGATATATATGTGGCGAGGCTGGTGACTGTAAGGTATATGAGTGGTGAGGCTGGTGGCTGAGATATGAGTGGTGAGGCTGGTGACCGTGAGGTATGTGAGTGGTGAGGCTGGTGACTGTGAGGTATATGAGTGGTGAGGCTGGTGGCTGAGATATGAGTGGTGAGGCTGGGGACTGTGAGATATGTAAGTGGTGAGGTTGGGGACTGTGAGATATATATATGTGGTGAGGCTGGTGACTGTGAGATATATAAGTGGTGAGGTTGGCGACTGTGAGATATATAAGTGGTGAGGCTGGTTACTGTGAGATATGTGGTGAGGCTGGTGACTGTGAGATATAAGTGGTGAGGCTCGCTACTGTGAGATATATAAGTGGTGAGGCTGGTGACTGTGAGATATATAAGTGGTGAGGCTGGTGACTGTGAGATATATAAGTGGTGATGCTGGTGACTGTGAGATATATAAGTGGTGAGGCTGGTTACTGTGAGATATGTAAGTGGTGAGGCTGGTGACTGTGAGATATATAAGTGGTGAGGCTGGTTACTGTGAGATATATAAGTGGTGAGGCTGGTGACTGTGAGATATATAAGTGGTGAAACTGGTGACTGTGAGATATGTAAGTGGTGAGGCTGGTGACTGTGAGATATATAAGTGGTGAGGCTGGTGACTGTGAGATATAAATGTGGTGAGGCTGGTGACTGTGAGATATATAAGTGGTGAGGCTGGTGACTGTTAGATATATAAGTGGTGAGGCTGGTGACTGTGAGATATATAAGTGGTGAGGCTGGTGACTGTGAGATATATAAGTGGTGAGGCTGGTGACTGAGATATATAAGTGGTGAGGCTTGTGACTGTGAGATATATAAGTGGTGAGGCTGGTGACTGTGAGATATATAAGTGGTGAGGCTTGTGACTGTGAGATATATAAGTGGGGGGGCTTGTGACTGTGAGATATATAAGTGGTGAGGCTGGTGACTGTGAGATATATAAGTGATGAGGCTGGTTACTGTGAGATATATAAGTGGGGAGGCTGGTGACTGTGAGATATATAAGTGGTGAGGCTGGTGACTGAGATATATAAGTGGTGAGGCTGGTGACTGTGAGATATATAAGTGGTGAGGCTGGTGACTGTGAGATATATAAGTGGTGAGGCTGGTGACTGTGAGATATATAAGTGGTGAGGCTGGTGACTGTGAGATATATAAGTGGTGAGGCTGGTGACTGTGAGATATGTAAGTGGTGAGGCTGGTGACTGTGAGATATATAAGTGATGAGGCTGGTTACTGTGAGATATATAAGTGGGGAGGCTGGTGACTGTGAGATATATAAGTGGTGAGGCTGGTGACAGAGATATATAAGTGGTGAGGCTGGTGACTGTGAGATATATAAGTGGTGAGGCTGGTGACTGTGAGATATATAAGTGGTGAGGCTGGTGACTGTGAGATATATAAGTGGTGAGGCTGGTGACTGTGAGATATATAAGTGGTGAGGCTGGTGACTGTGAGATATATAAGTGGTGAGGCTGGTGACTGTGAGATATATAAGTGGTGAGGCTGGTGAATGTGAGATATATAAGTGGTGAGGCTGGTTACTGTGAGATATATAAGTGGTGAGGCTGGTTACTGTGAGATAAGTGGTGAGGCTGGTGACTGTGAGATATATAAGTGGTGAGGCTGGTTACTGTGAGATATGTAAGTGGTGAGGCTGGTTACTGTGAGATAAGTGGTGAGGCTGGTGACTGTAAGATATATAAGTGGGGAGGCTTGTTACTGTGAGATATATAAGTGGTGAGGCTGGTGACTGTGAGATATATAAGTGGTGAGGCAGGTGACTGTGAGATATATAAGCGGTGATGCTGGTGACTGTGAGATATATAAGTGGTGAGGCTGGTTACTGTGAGATATATAAGTGGTGATGCTGGTGACTGTGAGATATATAAGTGGTGAGGCTGGTGACTGTGAGATATATAAGTGGTGAGGCTGGTGACTGTGAGATATATAAGTGGTGAGGCTGGTGACTGTGAGATATATAAGTGGTGAGGCTGGTGACTGTGAGATATATAAGTGGTGAGGCTGGTGACTGTGAGATATATAAGTGGTGAGGCTGGTGACTGTGAGATATATAAGTGATGAGGCTGGTTACTGTGAGATATATAAGTGGGGAGGCTGGTGACTGTGAGATATATAAGTGGTGAGGCTGGTGACTGAGATATATAAGTGGTGAGGCTGGTGACTGTGTGAGATATATAAGTGGTGAGGCTGTGACTGTGAGATATATAAGTGTGAGGCTGGTGACTGGGGGGTGATGTGAGATATGATAAGTGGTGAGGCTGGTGACTGTGAGATATATAAGTGGTGAGGCTGGTGACTGTGAGATATATAGTGATGAGGCTGGTTTACTGTGAGATATATAATTGGGGAGGCTGGTGACTGTGAGATATGTAAGTGGTGAGGCTGGTGACTGAGATATATAAGTGGTGAGGCTGGTGACTGTGAGATATATAAGTGGTGAGGCTGGTGACTGTGAGATATATAAGTGGTGAGGCTGGTGACTGTGAGATATATAAGTGGTGAGGCTGATGACTGTGAGATATATAAGTGTGTGAGGCTGGTGACGTGAGATATATAAGTGGTGAGGCTGGTGACTGTGAGATATATAAGTGGTGAGGCTGGTGACTGTGAGATATATAAGTGGTGAGGCTGGTTGACTGTGAGATATATAAGTGGTGAGGCTGGTGACTGTGAGATATATAAGTGGTGAGGCTGGTGACTGTGAGATATATAAGTGGTGAGGCTGGTGACTGTGAGATAATAAGTGGTGAGGCTGGTACTGTGAGATATATAAGTGGGGAGGCTGGTGACTGTGAGATATATAAGTGGTGAGGCTGGTGACTGGAGATATATAAGTGGTGAGGCTGGTGACTGTGAGATATATAAGTGGTGAGGCTGGTGACTGTGAGATATATAAGTGGTGAGGCTGGTGACTGTGAGATATATAAGTGGTGAGGCTGGTGACTGTGAGATATATAAGTGGTGAGGCTGGTGACTGTGAGATATATAAGTGGTGAGGCTGGTGACTGTGAGATATATAAGTGGTGAGGCTGTGACTGTGAGATATATAAGTGGTGAGGCTGGTGACTGTGAGATATATAAGTGGTGAGGCTGGTGACTGTGAGATATATAAGTGGTGAGGCTGGTGACTGTGAGATATAAGTGAGTGAAAGTGGTGAGGGTGTGCTGGTGACTGTGAGATATATAAGTGGTGAGGCTGGTGACTGTGAGATTATAAGTGGTGAGGCTGGTGACTGTGAGATATATAAGTGGTGAGGCTGGTGACTGTGAGATATATAAGTGGTGAGGCTGGTGACTGTGAGATATATAAGTGGTGAGGCTGGTGACTGTGAGATATATAAGTGGTGAGGCTGGTGACTGTGAGATAATAAGTGATGAGGCTGGTGACTGTGAGATATATAAGTGGGAGGCTGGTGACTGTGAGATATATAAGTGGTGAGGCTGGTGACTGAGATATATAAGTGGTGAGGCTGTGACTGTGAGATATATAAGTGGTGAGGCTGGTGACTGTGAGATATATAAGTGGTGAGGCTGGTGACTGTGAGATATATAAGTGGTGAGGCTGGTGACTGTGAGATATATAAGTGGTGAGGCTGGTGACTGTGAGATATATAAGTGGTGAGGCTGGTGACTGTGAGATATATAAGTGGTGAGGCTGATGACTGTGAGATATATAAGTGGTGAGGCTGGTGACGTGAGATATAATAAGTGGTGAGGCTGGTGACTGTGAGATATATAAGTGGTGAGGCTGGTGACTGTGAGATATATAAGTGGTGAGGCTGGTGACTGTGAGATATATAAGGGTGAGGCTGGTGACTGTGAGATATATAAGTGGTGAGGCTGGTGACTGTGAGATATATAAGTGGTGAGGCTGGTGACTGTGAGATAAATAAGTGATGAGGCTGGTACTGTGAGATATATAAGTGGGTGAGGCTGGTGACTGTGAGATATATAAGTGGTGAGGCTGGTGACTGTGAGATATATAAGTGGTGAGGCTGGTGACTGTGAGATATATAAGTGGTGAGGCTGGTGACTGTGAGATATATAAGTGGTGAGGCTGGTGACTGTGAGATATATAAGTGGTGAGGCTGGTGACTGTGAGATATATAAGTGGTGAGGCTGGTGACTGTGAGATATATAAGTGGTGAGGCTGGTGACTGTGAGATATAAGGAGTGGTGACTGTGAGATATATAAGTGATGAGGCTGGTTACTGTGAGATATATAAGTGGGGAGGCTGGTGACTGTGAGATGTATAAGTGGTGAGGCTGGTGACTGAGATATATAAGTGGTGAGGCTGGTGACTGTGAGATATATAAGTGGTGAGGCTGATGACTGTGAGATATATAAGTGGTGAGGCTGGTGACTGTGAGATATGTAAGTGGTGAGGCTGGTGACTGTGAGATATATAAGTGGTGAGGCTGGTGACTGTGAGATATATAAGTGATGAGGCTGGTTACTGTGAGATATATAATTGGGGAGGCTGGTGACTGTGAGATATGTAAGTGGTGAGGCTGGTGACTGAGATATATAAGTGGTGAGGCTGGTGACTGTGAGATATATAAGTGGTGAGGCTGGTGACTGTGAGATATATAAGTGGTGAGGCTGGTGACTGTGAGATATATAAGTGGTGAGGCTGGTGACTGTGAGATATATAAGTGGTGAGGCTGGTGACTGTGAGATATATAAGTGGTGAGGCTGGTTACTGTGAGATATGTAAGTTGTGAGGCTGGTTACTGTGAAATAAGTGGTGAGGCTGGTGACTGTGAGATATGTAAGTTGTGAGGCTGGTGACTGTGAGATATATAAGTGTTGAGGCTGGTAACTGTGAGATATATAAGTGGTGATGCTGGTGACTGTGAGATATATAAGTGGTGAGGCTGGTTACTGTGAGATATATAAGTGGTGAGGCTGGTTACTGTGAGATATATAAGTGGTGAGGCTGGTGACTGAGATATATAAGTGGTGATGCTGGTGACTGTGAGATATATAAGTGGTGAGGCTGGTTACTGTGAGATATATAAGTGGTGATGCTGGTGACTGAGATTTATAAGTGGTGAGGCTGGTGACTGTGAGATATATAAGTGGTGAGGCTGGTGACTGTGAGATATATAAGTGGTGAGGCTGGTGACTGTGAGATATATAAGTGGTGAGGCTGGTGACTGTGAGATATTAAGTGGTGAGGCTGGTGACTGTGAGATATATAAGTGGTGAGGCTGGTTACTGTGAGATATATAATGGTGAGGCTGTGACTGTAAGATATATAAGTGGTGAGGCTGGTGACTGTAAGATATATAAGTGGTGAGCAGTGACTGTGAGATATATAATGGTGAGGCTGGTGACTGTGAGATAATATAAGTGGTGAGGCGGTGACTGTGAGATATATAAGTGGTGAGGCTAGTGACTGTGAGATATATAAGTGGTGAGGCTGGTGGACTGTGAGATATGTAGTGGTGAGGCTGGTTACTTGAGATATATAAGTGGTGAAGCTGGTGACTGTGAGATATATAAGTGGTGAGGCTGTGACTGTGAGATATTAATGGTGAGGCTGGTGACTGTGAGATATATAAGTGGTGAGGCTGGTGAATGTGAGATTATATAAGTGGTGACTTAAGTATAGTAGATATATAAGTGTGAGCTGTGTCTGTGAGATAATAAGTGTGAGTCTGTGACTGTGAGTATGTAAGTGGTAGCTTGTGACTGTGAATATGTAAGTGGTGAGGCTGTGACTTAGATATGTAATGTTAGGCTGGTGAACCCCGGAAGTAAAGCAACAAAGGATACACTTTTCAGTACGTATTTCAGATCAGCTTGTTCTGTCACAGGATTGGGCCGGACGCTGTCCAGAACTGAAACACACAAATCTATTATATATATATATATATACACACTTACACAAAACACACATCACACAACCACACAACCACACACACACACACCACACATCACACAACACACACACTCACACCACACACACACATATATATCATAATATATATATTATAATATATATATATATATACTATATATATGTATATATATAATGTGCAGGACAGCCACGGGAGGGTTGGAAATCTTTAGCTCAGGTCAGGTACTTTCACACTTCTCATGCATTCATCAGGAGCTTTTGCAATGTTGCAAGGGAGCAACCAAAGCAGGAGAGAAGTCTCAGAGTAGCGTAGGTGTCACCCGCCACGGTTACCCTTAGACTGGGTTAAGTGGTCGGTGCCAACCCACCCTACCATAATCCCACCACTAACCATAAGGGGTAGGAGGATTTCTGAGATGTCAAGTAGGAAATTGTAAGATATAAAAAAAACTCCAGCCCCAAGCTTTTTCTAATCGTTTGTAACAGGTCATATGGTTTGAGAAAATAATTTCTCGTTAGATTCTGTAGACATGGATAGCTATTATTCTGTGTGACCTTTTCAAATAATGAAAGAAAAGAATACAATGTGCTCTTTGTCTGTTTAAATGTCCTACTCTGGGGTACTCGAATGTTCTACCGATGTACTCAGAAGTATCTCTTCCTACATATTGTCAACTATGTGGCTGTTAATATGCCATACATGGGGACTTCTATGCCTATCCGATAATATTTCTATGTTCTAAATTCTACTAAATACCCTTTAACCTTTTCTTACGTTATCTTGTATGCTTTTCACTGTATATGATCCTGTGATTTTGTATAGCATTGTTGTTTTAGGTTGTGTACAATGGACTCGACTAAATAATTATCGAGCTTGTATAACCCATAATTTGAGTTGTATACTGTATTCCTTTCATGTTTCAAGAGGGAAGATTCAGTTATGTTTCTTTCCATGACAGAACTGTTTGGTACTATAATCTGGGCAGCATCCCACCCTGGTGGGTGATTACATGCACTAACCTGGTTAAAGATAGCGTTTGACTCTTGCCCTGTCCTGACTGAGTATTTATGCTGGGCAATTCTGGTTTCTAGAAATTTACCTGTTTGACCGATATAATTGAGAAGCACTCAGTACATGGGACCTTGTAAACCCCACCGACTTTGTTGGAGGGTGTGTTTTTAATCAGTGTTTGTTTCACTGTCCCCCATGTTTTTGAAAGCCAGATGACACCTATGCTACTCTGAGACTTCTCTCCCTGAGACTTCCACCCCCCTGTGGCTTGTCCTGTATAGTTAAGATCGCCCATCTGCGATTGTTTGCATATATATATATATATATATATATATATATATATATATATATATATATATATATATATATATATATATTATATATATATATATATATATATATATATATATATATATATATAGTTAGTGGAACCTCGGTTTTCGTTTTTAATTCGTTCCAGAGAGTCGGATAAAAACCACATTCGACGAAAACTAAATAAATATTTCCCATAAAAAAATAATGCAAATCCAATTAATCCGTTTCAGACACCCAAAAGTATTTAAAAAAATACGTTATATAGAGAATAACTATAGTTTTATATACAGAAAACAATGAGAAATAAATATAAAGCACTAATGAAATGGATAAATGAACATTAAAATCACTCTTACCTTTATTGAAGAGTCTTGTTGGTGTGTGGAAGACAGCGAGGAGGGGAGGGATAGGAGAGTTTTATTGTTTGGAGATAGGACACATTTATTTATTTAGTAATTTAAGCATGCAAACAGAGGTACAAAAATACAGGTAAGAGCAGCATTACTTCAATATGACTTTAATATCAGCTCTACGGCTTATTTATCTATCACATTTTATTTAATATGACATAATAAACAATATCAATAATACAGAAACATGATATATACTCTAGAATTAATAAAATATATTACGTATGTGACTAGTGGTGGCAGCAGCAGCTGCCATTCCCTCTAGTGCTCTGTCTACATATCTTCCCATGCTTTTATTATAAGAGAAAACGGAATGTTTGTGAGGCTAACCGCACTAGATCAGTTTCATATGGAAACCACTGAAACAATGTACATAATTTATAGATAAGAAATATTGTACAAAAACACAATAGAGAATATAAAGAAATAAAGTGGTTATTGTGTGTATACTATAGTACACACCTTGGAGGAGATGCTGGCAGAGGTTTAGGGTGGTGAAAGATAGTGCGGGGTGGCGTATGTTCTCAGTGGCCCTATAAACCTCCAACAACATTAGAGGAGTTAGTTTCATGTCGTCCTTTTTCTATCGCTTAACTACTTGCTACACTTTATCGCTGGTTAGTGCTATAGCCTTTATTGACTCACTGAATCACTGAAGAATTCTATCGTGTTTCTCGCCTTTTTTATCAAAGGGCTGGTATTCTGAACTTTCTTTGGTCACACTAAAAAAACAAGCACAAAAAACAATGGATTATTACGAAAAACAAAGCCAGACTGACTCAAAATGCATGTGTGGGATGCTTTGTGTGGGTGTGCACAGGCACACACGTTTGGTACGGTGGACGAAAACCAAGGTGACGAACGAAAACTAAGACAAAAGTCATCGAAAATCAAATTCGACGATAACCAGGACAAACGAAAACCAAGGCTCCACTGTATATATATATATATAATATATATATATATATATATATATATATATATATATATATATATATATATATATATATAATATAATGTGTGTGTGTGTGTATGACTAATCTGGTTTTTCTTCCTCGTTTCTCTGAAGATGTTTCTGTAAATGCAGGAAAGTACTCATTTGTTCTTATCTTTTTATTGAGATATTTTTATGGATACAGAGAAATGGCTGGGGACTCGAACTGTGGTAAATGTGTATAGCAGGGTCATCCTTGTAACCACTCAGCTGCTTACAGTGCTGAGTCTATACGTGGACCACGGTTCATGTCCTCATCCATTCTTTGGTATATTTATTGACAGTCGTTCATTAAGACTAACTTGGGTTTATATATGCATACTTACACAAACATACACGTAACAAACTCGCTTCAATGGGTACTGAGGGAAAATAGAACTACAGGGAATAGTGTGTTTCATAAGAGGCCCCGAGTTGCTACTCCCGTAGTAGCAGCTGTTTTATTTGTGTGTCATGTCTGTAGTAAATGATAGGTCAAGGTCTCCTACTACCATACATAAGCCTCCATTATTGTATGGAAAACAAGCTATTTAATAAGATTGCCAAATTTAAACTTGCACAGCCCAGTAAAAATGTTAGTCTTTCTTTGAGATTTTCCACTAGATCGCAAATCTTGAATTCTCTAATTATGGCGCAGAAACTAATAAATCAATTTTTAATGTTTTAATAATGTATTAACTCCGGACGATCATAGCTTAATGCTGTCCTTTCAGTTTGAAATCTCTCAGAAGAGACTTTCTTAAGTTATCTTATTGAAAAAAGAAATCCCCGCAATTTTATAAGTAAAATTAACAAATTAACACCTACACAGTAACACCCCTAATCTTTTTTTTATGTGTAGACGCCTAGGTTTTATGTTTGAACATTATTAGAACAGACGTTCTCGAGTTATCGCACATAAATCAAAATTGATTAGTCATTAAAATTGACCAGAGGGCGCCTACACATCCTAGTAATAACATTAATCTTTCTCTAGATACCGTACATCAATGTTGAATATTTGAAGCCAGTCGGAGGAGGCGTTCTGTAGCTGTAACCGAAAACCTGGGAAGAAGAAAGCTGATAGTAGATTGGTTATGTCAGGAAGACTTACAGATAACTGCCACCACCCATGACCCAACATAATTACACCTTGTACCAGCAGATATAAAAATATTGTCTGGACAAGTTTCTGCAGGCGCCTGTTCAGCCAGACTATGGTTGCTCTGAAAGACCAGAGAGCGACGGGTAGCAACAACATGACTGACCTGGCCACCACCAGGAAAGCCTGGCTTAATTATAACCACAATTTTTAAAGGAGTGGACGGTCCATTCTAAACCATTGTCAAGTCACAGTTTACCCTAAAAGGTGGATGAAAAGGGTAGAAAAACTTGCGAAGCTGATCAGTGGCATGTCACCGGTAGGCATAAAATCCACATATGAAATATTAGACACTAGATTACTTGGGCAAACTGCTGTTTGCCAAGTCAATTATGTCTGAGGAGAGTCAAGGACGTTAAGGCTGCAAACTACCTTGTTACTAACCATAAAGAATTTAATCAATAACAAAGATTTAGATTGGTAAATATATAAACACACACACATATATTGCAAACCCCTGCAACCATATATAGGTGAGTACACACACACACACACATTGCAAACCTCTGCAACCACATATAGGTGAGTACATACACACACACACATACATTACAAACCCCTGCAAACACATGTAGGTGAGTACACACACCCACTTCATACTTCTGGCCCAAAAGTGATGATAGCAGTGATGTACAGCCTACCACCGAGCAGCAAGAGGCCAAGACAGGAATACGATGATAGCAACAGAGTGATGGTAAACGCACTATCCGAGCCTGCCAATAGGGCCCTACATGAGCAGGGCAAAGTTATTCATTATGGGGGATTTCAACTATAAGGAGACTGACTAGGAGAATCTGGAGTCACATGGGTGACCAGAGACGTGGAAAGCCAAGATGCTGGAGATGGTATTGGAAAACTTCACATATCAACATGTTGGGGACACAACCAAAGAAAGAGAGAAAAGTCGATGAACCAGCAAGGCTAGATCTCGTATTCACCTTGAGCAGTTCAGACATAAGGATATCACACACGAAAGGCCCCTAAGCGCTAGTGATCACGTGGTCTTGAGCTTCGAATACATAGTAGAGTTAACAATGGAGAATGAAGCAGCACGAGAAGGACGGGAGAAACCAGACTTCCAAAAAGGGTGAAGGATGAAGCAATTCCTACATGAGGTGCAGTGGGTAAGCGAGCTAAAGACAGTAAACAAAATGATGGAACGCGTGACCACATAATGCAGGGAGACAGTGGAGAAATTCATGCCAAGGGGTAACAGAAACAATGGGAAGACCAGAGCGAGCCCATGGTGTACCAGGAGGTGTGGAGACGCCAAAGCCAAGTGTGTTAGAGCATGGAAAAAAGTATAGAAGGCAGAGGACCCAGGAAAATAAGGAGTTGAGCCGAGGAGCCAGAAATGAATTAGCATGGATAAGGAGAAAAGCCAAGGGTCAATATGAGAATGACATAGCATGAAAAGCCAGATGTGACCCAAAGTTGTTATACAGTCACATCAGGAGGAAAACAACAGTCAAGAACCAGGTAATAAGGCTGAGGAAGGAAGAAAGGGAGCTCACAGGGAACGACCAGAAAGTATGAAGAGCTCAGTTCATGATTCCGGGAGATATTCGCAGTGGAGACAGAAAGGTTTGCAGCAAACCGAGGTAGTAAGCAAATACTGGACAAACTACACACAACCGAGGAGGTGAAGAATCTGCAATGGAAACTTGATACCTCGAAGGCGGTGGGCCCAGATACTATCTCTGGTCCTGAGAGAGGGAGCAGATGCACTGTGCACCACTAACAACAATCTTCAATAAATCTATCGAAACAGGGCAACTGCCTGAGGTGAAGAAGATAGCAAATGTAGACCCGATTTTTAAGACAGACAGGCTGCACTAAATTGTAGGCCAGTGTCGCTGACATGTATTGTATGGAAAGTTATGGATAAGATTATCAGGAAAGAGTGGTGGAGCACCTAGAAAGGAATGGACTAGAACATGACAACCAATGGAAAGGAAATCCTGCACCACAAACCATCCTGCATCACAACCTATTGGAGTTCTATGGCAAGGTAACAGAAGTAAGACAGGAGAGAGATGGGTAGACTGCATCTTCTTGGACTGTAAGAAAGCTTTCGACACAGTACCACATAAGAGACTGGTTTGAAAGCTAGAGGAGCAGGCAGGAATAGGAGGGAATGTATTGCAATGGATCAGAGAATACCTAACAGGAAGGAAACAACGTGTGTCGGTACAAGACTAGGTGTCAGAGTATGTGCATGTCAAGTGGGGTTCCACAAGGGTCAGTCCTAGGTCCGGTGCTCTTTCTTGTATATATGAATGACATGACGGAAGGGATAGTCAGAGATATCCCTGTTCGCAGACAATGTAAAGCTAATGAGGAGAATACAAGCGGACGAGGATCAAGTAAGCCTACAAGAGGATCTGGGCAAGATGCAAGCCTGGCTCGACAAATGGCTCCTGGAGTTTAACCCCAGCAAGTGCAAAGTTATGAAGTCTTGGTAAGGACAAAGGAGACCGCAGACGGAGTACAGCCTAGGAGGTCAAAGGCTGAAAAACTCATGCAAGAAAAAGGATCTTGGGGTGAGCATCATACCGAGCACATCCCCCGAGACACACATCAACCAAATAAATGCTGAAGCATACGGGCGCCTGGCAAACCTGAGAATAGCGTTTTGACATCTAAGTAAGGAGTCATTCATGACACTGCACACCGTGTACGTCAGGCCCATATTGAAGTATGCAGCACCTGTATGGCACCCACACCTGGTCAAACACGTCAAGAAATTAGATAAGGGTTGCAACAAGATTAGTCCCAGAGCTGAAGAGGTTTGTATTACAAGGAGAGGATAAGGCAACTCAACCTGACAACACTGGAGGACAGGAGGGATAGGGGGGCATGATAACAACGTATAAAATACTGAGAGTAATTGACAAGGTGGATAGGAACAGAATGTTTCAGAGATGGGACACAACAACAAGGGATCACAACTGGAAGTTGAAGACTCAGATGAGTTACAGGGATTTAAGATAAGATAAGATAAGATAATATTTCGTTCGGATTTTTAACCCCGGAGGGTTAGCCACCCAGGATAACCCAAGAAAGTCAGTGCGTCATCGAGGACTGTCTAACTTATTTCCATTGGGGTCCTTAATCTTGTCCCCCAGGATGCGCCCCACACCAGTCGACTAACACCCAGGTACCTATTTGCTGCTAGGTGAACAGGACAACAGGTGTAAGGAAACGTGTCGAAATGTTTCCACCCGCCGGGAATCGAACCCGGGCCCTCCGTGTGTGAAGCGGGAGCTTTAGCCACCAGGCCACCGGGAAGTGGAACAGTCTGGAGAGTGATGTAGTGGAGGCATGATCCATAGCTTTAAAAGAGGTATGATGAAGCTCATGGAGCAGGGAGAGAGGGGACCTAGTAGCAACCAGTGAAGAGGCGGGGCCAGGAGCTCGGACTCGACCCCTGCAACCTCAACTAGGTTGAGGTTGCAGGGGTCGACACACACACACACACACACAAACAAACAAACAAACAAGCAAACAACCACTCACCAACAGACACGAAATCATTATCATCCAAGACATCAATAACAAAGTCAGAAGGATCTAGGATGGCTCCTCCGAGGGTCTTCCTGACGCTGGCTACTGTCTCAAACTTGTTGGGCACATGTGTGGCTGGCTTCAGCTTCATGTATCTACGCAGTGTCTCTTCCCCCAGCCACGACACTGTCTCCTTCCCTGAAACAAACAGTCAGGTTACTAACACAAGCAATGTGCATAGCTCAGTATATATACTCCTGATACTCTGATTTAATCCATTTTTTTTTTAGGGATTAGTGTTCAATATTATTATCGTACAGGTAAAATGCAGCCATAATGACGCACGTTGGGTCTGTAATCTTTAAACTTAAGAAAACTAAAACACTTTGTTCACAAGCAAAGGGACCCGAGCTCGATCCCCAGGTAAGACGAGAGATATGGACATGTGCAACATTTGGGTATCTTTATTCTGGAAACATTTCGCCACCCTGTGACTTCTTCAGTTTCCAGAATAAAGATACAGTACCTAAATGTTACACAAGTGTCTCATTCATCAACTTGTCGGTTTTCTAAGCCATTTATTCATAAGTCTGCTTATACCTGCTGCCTATGTTTACTTAGTAAATAGATACTAGACAACTATTGTGGATTGCATTCTAGGAAGCGGGCGGTATACCTCCAGGCTTAGATAATACCTAGACTTGAAACGAGCTGAAGTGGGAATACAATGACCTGTAAATTGTAATTGTAAAATAGTTGAAGGTAGACACACTGGGAACAGTGAGGGAGTAAGGTGTCCCGTGGCTCAGGTGGTCACTCCCTCAGCGCCCATACTAAGGGTCCGTGGTACGATCCTCGGCACCGGCTAGCATTAAGTAGATACCAGGATATTAGTTAACTTTTGTATAGATTATACTGGTTAAGTAGATACCAGGATATTAGTTAACTTTTGTATAGATTATACTGGTTAAGTAGATACCAGGATATTAGTTAACTTTTGTATAGATTATACTGGTTAAGTAGATACCAGGATATTAGTTAACTTTTGTATAGATTATACTGGTTAAGTAGATACCAGGATATTAGTTAACTTTTGTATAGATTATACTGGTTAAGTAGATACCAGGATATTAGTTAACTTTTGTATAGATTATACTGGTATATGAATAACTGTTGGTGGCAACCCAGTGAGTGTTAATATATCTTAAGAACAGAGCTGGACGTTGAAATGAGCTGAGGTTGGGTAACAGCTCTTAACCCATAAATTCAACGTGTGGAAAAAACAGCAGAGCCTTCATGCAATGTTTTCTATTTCATTTTACAACAACAGAATTTTTGCAAGTTGTCGTCAAAAAAGTTAAACAAGCGTAATATCAAAATGGCATTTTTCCCTCCAGACAGATTACCAGTGATGATAATAATGCGAGGCAGAAGCCCACCTATTGCCTCTCTCTCTTTGATACCTGCTGCACCGTGTATCGCCCATCATGAGGGCAGCTATATCATGTTAATATTTCATAAAAAACTGATGCATATTTCATAGATGACGTTTGTATACACAGGTTTCTTTCAGACATTCCGTTTGTGGTACACTGCTAAAACATCTGCAGTAAATAAAACTTGTTGGTTTTCATTTCTAGCTTGTTAATGGTATATAAATTGTTAATGGGTTTTAGTGTATTAATAGTTTCTAGTGTGTTAATGATTTCCAACATGTTAATGGTTTCTAGCATGTTAATGATTTCTAACATGCTAATTATGTTTACACTATGTTAGTGGTTTCTACCATGCTGAGATGTATGGAGTTCTTTAAAGAGAAATTTCAGTTACTACGATATGGAAAACTTGAGGAAATCAAGACTTGAGGAGTATAAGACAAATTCCAACCATACAATAGAGCGAAAAACTAATGCGAAGGACCTGGGAGTGATAATGTCAGCGGATCTCACCTTCAAAGATTACAACAATGTATCAGTCACATCTGCTAGAAAAATGATAGGATGGATAATGAGAGTCTTCAAAACTAGGGATGCCAAGCCCATGATGATTCCCTTCAAATCGCTTGTTCTCTCTAGGATGGAATATTGCTGTACACTAACGGCGTCTTTCAAGGCAGGTGAAATTGCTGACCTGGAGATTGTACAGAGAACCTTCAAGATACATAAGAGTACAATAAAACACCTTAATTACTGGGAACAGTTGAAGTTCCTTGACTTGTATTCCCTGGAATCCAGGCAAGAAAGATACATGATAATATACAGTTGGAAAATCCTAGAGGGATTAGTGCCAAATTTGCACACGAAAATCACTTCTTACAAAAGCAAAAGACTTGGCAAGTGGTGCAACATCCCCCCAGTGAAGAGCTGGGGCGCCACTAGCACGATAAGAGACAGTAAGTGTCAGGGGCCCAAGACTGTTCAACTGCCTCCCAGCATACATAAGGGGGGGGGATTACCAATAGACCCCTGGCTGTCTTCAGTAAGGAACTGGACAGACACGTAAAGTCAGTACCTGACCAGCTGGGCTGTGGTTCGTACGTCACGTTGCGTGCGGCCAACAGTAACAAAGTGGTTGAGCAAATGTTTTGTTAGTGGGATGAATTGTAAAGGACCTGCCTAGTATGGGCCAACAGATCTGCTGCAGTGTTCCTCCTTTCTTATGTTCTTATGTTCTTATAAGGCCTTGATCCACTATGAGGCCTGGTCACAGACCGGGCCGCGGGGGCGTTGATTCCCGAAACCCTCTCTTGGTATACCATGTTAATGGTTTCTACCATGCTAGTTGTGTTTATACTATACCTGGAGTTTACCTGTAGGGTGTTCCGGGGCTCAACACCCCTGCAGCCAAGTCCATGACCAGGCCGTCATGGTGGATCAGGGCGTGATCAACCAGGCTGTTACTGTTGGCTGCACGTAAACCAACATACGAACCACAGGGCAGGTACTGACTTTAGCTACCTGTCCATCTCCATTTTGAGGACAGCCAGAGGTCTTTTGCTATTTTCTCTTATGTATGCTGGGAGGCAGTTGAAAAGTCTTGGTCCCCTGACACTTATTGTGTTGTCTCACTTATTGTATATATTATCATGAATCTTTCTCGCCTGGGTTCCAGGGAGTATAGGTCAAGGGACTTCAACCGTTCCCAGTAATTTAGGTGCTTTATTGTACTTATACGTGTAAGTGAAAGTTCTCTGAATATTCTCCAGGTCTGCAGTTTCCCCTGCCTTGAAGGGGGCAGTTAGTGTACAGCAATATTCCAGCCTAGAGAGAACAAGTGAGTTGAGGAGAATCGCCATTGGCTTGACATCCCTAGTTCTAAAGGTTTTTATTATCCATCCTATCATTTTCCTAGCAGCTGTGGTAGATACATTGTTGTGATCCTTGTTAATAGTTTCTACCACGTTAATGGTTTCTACCATGCTAGTTGTGTTTCTACTTTGTTAATAGTTGTGTTTCTACCATGATAATCCTTTATACCTGACCAGCCGGGCTGTGGCTCGTACGTTGGATTGCGTGCAGCCAGCAGTAACAGCCTGGTTAATCAGGCTCTGATCCACCAGGAGGCCTGGTCACAGACCGGGCCGCGGGGGCGTTGACCCTCGAAACTCTCTCCAGGTAAACTCCAGGTATACCATGTCACGTATAAACTGAATAGTGTAGATCTTAATACTACTGACTGCGAAAAGGATTTAGGAGTTCTGGTTAGCAGTAATCTAAAACCAAGACAACAGTGCATAACTGTTCGCAATAAAACTAACAAAATCCTTGGCTTCATATCAAGAAGTATAAATAATAGGAGTCCTCAGGTTGTTCTTCAACTCTATATATCCTTGGTTAGGCCTCATTTAGATTATGCCGCACAGTTCTGGTCACCGTATTACAGAATGGATATAAATGCTCTGGAAAACGTACAGAGGAGGATGACAAAGTTGATCCCATGTATCAGAAATCTTCCCTATGAGGATAGACTAAGGGCCCTAAATCTGCACTCTCTAGAAAGGCGTAGAATTAGGGGGGATATGATTGAGGTGTATAACTGGAAAACAGGAATAAATAAAGGGGATGTAAATAGCGCGCTGAAAATATGCAGCCTAGACAGGACTCGCAGCAATGGTTTCAAGTTGGAAAAGTTCAGATTCGGGAAGGATATAGGAAAGCACTGGTTTGGTAATAGAGTTGTGGATTAGTGGAACAAACTCCCGAGTACCGTCATAGACACTATGATGTTGTGTAGTTTTAACAATGGATTAGATAAATACATGAGTGGGTGTGAGTTGGACCTCACTAGCTTGGGCTACCAGGCCTGGTGCCGTGCTCCTTCCTTAAGTGGAAGTGACCTGACTAGATGGTCGTTGTTCTAGGTCGGGGGGGGTGGCATGGACCTGCTTTGCATGGGTCAGTAGGCCTGTTGCAGTGTTCCTTCTTTCTTATGTTAATTGTTTCTTCCATGCTAGTTTCGTTTCTACAATGTTAATTGTTTCTACCATGCTAGTTGTGTTTCTACCATGTTAATGGTTTCTACCATGCTAGTTGTGTTTCTACCATGTTAATGGTTTCTACCATGCTAGTTGTTTCTAACATGTTAATTGTTTCTACCATGCTAGTTGTGTTTCTACCATGTTAATGGTTTCTACCATGCTAGTTGTGTTTCTACCATGCTAGTTGTGTTTCTACCATGCTAGTTGTGTTTCTACCATGTTAATGGTATCATCCATCTTAATTGTACCTACCACTCGCTGACGTCATGAATGCAAGACAGTTGAATGTTGTATTAGCGTGTGGAACAAAAATAAAAGAATGAACGAGAGTTTGACGGGGAGTAGAAGGTAAGACAGGTTTATCTGCGGAGAGGAGACTAGACAGGAGTAGTAATAATGTTAAGTGAATAAATGGTTGAAGAAGAGAGATGATTTTTTTATTAAAGCGTTATATAGATTAGTAAAGTGAGTATGACTTTATTTTGGTAAATGGCATTTAAAAAAAGTAAAATCGAAAAGTAAACAGCTTGTGTTATGTACATTAATATACATTATCAATCGCATTTAATAAAAAAATATGCCATATATACAGGAGGTTATTTATGAGATAGCTCACTGTATAAAAGTGGGAGATGAGAAAGTGTTTATGCACCTGAGAGGAGCGTCAATGAGGGAGAGACTTTTCGGACGAAAAGAATAACTGCTGTAGAATATTTTCATT